TGTCTGCTCTTTTCATAAGCTTGCTGTAGTCTTAACAAAGTATGCCTAAAAATAGTAAAAATAACAATAACAGTCATATTTTGTATGTGTGCCATCAGCCCTAAGGACATGAAAGCCAGGCACCCATTGTGCTGACTTAATGACTGTTATAATGATTGGCATGAGAAAGGAACATCACAGTTCCCTTTGATACTTCAGGGAACAAAGGCACACTTTTCATCCCCAAGTCTAAGGGATGAGACTGAACAGTGCAAAGAGTTGGCAGTGTCAGTGTGGGGGCAGGGTGAAAGGGAGAAACCCACAGCTTTTATTTCCACACATAAATAAGGCTTGTTTTTATTAGTTCTCCTCTATGAGTTGAACCACGTGCTTCAGCACTCTATCGCTTCAGAGTGATGTTGTTTCAACAGAAAAAAAGGTATTTTCCACCCTTAATCCACTCATAAAAATATTACCACAAAAGCTGCTTCTAATATGCATGCCTCAGGAAACAAACATTTATGATCCCTGATGGTAGAAATGTGCTACTAGTACTGACATGTTCTGCTTTCCCCTGTCTTTGTTTGAATATTTTCCATTTTTTGTTTTGTCCTCCTTGTGGTTACGGGTGTAACCTTATTCTTACACTGGTCTGCTTCACCATGCCCCTTTGGATGAACTTACAAGAGAGTTTCAAATCTCAGTATGCTTCAGCTCCTGGATTATGCCAGCATCCATTTGAATTGAGGCAGACAGGCATGGCCCCAGGGCTTTGGACAGAGTCTAGAACTGAGACACAGTGATAAACTAGGACAGGGAGGATGTCACAGGCTATGAAACTCCAAAATGGTATGAGATGTAAATGGAAATAGATGAGGAGTAGGCTGCAGGTCAGCTGTTGCAAAATATGTAACCAGATTGACTGCTCAGCTTATTTCAAAACACAGGGTTCCCCTTTTAGACTTGAAAAATAATTAAGCGCAGAAATCTGTTCTGTTTTCTAGAAATAGAAAGGAACTGGAATATCAGCAAGTTTAGTGTCCTTAACAAAAACAGAATTGCCATTATTTTGAGTGGAAAATATTAGCTATGATATTTGACTTGTTTCTCAAAAGACTAAGAAACAAAAATATCTTTTAATGGCTACAGTTATTTCCATATTTTATTGCGTTTTCTTTTTCAGTTGCCTCAACGTTTTGTTCTTTGACAGTAGTTGTAGAGCATGGGTAAATGGATTTAGTCAGCAGATTACAGATCTATTGCTGATTTAGCACCTAAGAAAAAAATATTACAGAATGAAGATGAAGTATATTGTTTAATTGCAGCAACATCAAATTGTTTCAGTTAATCACCGAGTGAATATGCTCTAAAGCTTTTAAATCAAAGGTATACAGTAATTTTCAATGACCCCAGCATGGAAAGAGCTTCCAAATCATCATGACCTTAGAGCACACAGCCTGGCTATAACAGACTAGTATCACCTGCAGATTGTGTTTACCCTCATTCAGCTGCCTATTTGGAGTCCCAGTGCATCTCACCAATGTTTAGCCATTAGGCCATGAAGGCAACAGCTCTTCAATGCGGGTATTGAGACCAAGCTTCTTTCATATAATGACTTGATAAATAGGAAGCCCTAGCCTAGTCTTCCCAACAACACCCAGGGTCAGCAGGGTGGGACAGAGACATTCCACACTGGGCACATGTCCTCTCCACCACTACAAGCAGCAGCATAAGTACACTAGCATTGAGAATTTGTTTCCAAATTAACTCACAGAACTTGAATACTAGCTTTCAAATTGCTTAGAACATTCCAAAAAAAAAAAAAATAAATAAAAGAGCCCTCACTTAGATGCTATTTATTCATAATGTTTTAATGGTGAGTTTTAGCAAGGAGAGATTAAGGTATTACCTCTGGTATTTATTGCCATTTATGGTGATTTTTAGGAGAGACCTATCTTTTGGACAGAAAATAGCATGAAAGAATGCTTTACCAAGATATTTTTCCCACCTTATCTCTTTTTCTAAAATTCCATTTGACCATTTGCTATTCCAGTCTGAATATGCTTATTGCTGATTAAAATAATTAATATTTAATATGAACATTTAAATTACAATCCCTTTAAGCACCTCAAAAGAAGGGAATGTAGAATTGCAAAAGTCTGCTCTTAGGTGTTTATGATTGTCTTCCTGTTTAGTGTCTGCATTTCACTATCTCAGAAGGAGAACACTGGAGAATAACATTACGGAATACCCAGCCTAAAGACTGAACTTCTTGCTAGGATTGCTTTAGGGCATTTTGAAAAAGAATACAATGTCATACTGTGCCAGAGAGTTTCCTGGTCCTGACCACTGAGAACTGCTGATATCACTGTGTTACTGGAATAGAAATTGTGGCAAAAGGCATTGAGGAATCTCTCTGGTAGCAGTGCCTGTTCTGCAACAGTGCTGGACATGGATTCTTCTGGCTTCATGTGCTGTATCCACCTGACCTCAACTTCCCTTTCTTTAAGGCACAAACAAGGTAAATTGCCCCATTATATACTGAATTGTATTTTTAACTTTACAGGTAGTCTTTGATTTTCATTCTGGATATGTCAGATAATTTCCACCTTCTTCTCTCCTTCCTTTCCTTGCATTTTTATTTGGAACAGAAAAGAGTCAATACTCTTTTCTATTTCATGCATCCTGGATCTCCAATATTGGAAGGACACTGACTTGTTGGATTGAGTCCAGAGAAGGGCCACTAATTTAACTGGAGGGATGGAGCAGCTCTCCTGTGAGGAAAGGCTGAGAGGATTTGGTTTGCTCAGCCTGGAAAAGAGAAATCTTTGAGATGACCAATTGTGGCCTTCCAGTACCTGAAGAGAGCCTAAAAGAAAGATGGAGAAGGGCTTTTTACAAGGGCATGTAGTGACAGGACAAAACGTAATGGTTTCAAACTGAAAGAGATAAGGTTTAGATCAGATATTAGAAAAAACTTTTTTCCTATGAGGGTGGTGAGCCACTGAAATAGTGTCCAGAGAATTTGTGGATGGGGATGTGGAACCCTGGAAGTGTCTAAGGGTGAGTTTGAGGGAGCACTGAGAAACCAGCACCTAGTGGTCTAGTAGAAGGTGGTGGTCTACTGGTCTAGTGAAAAGGGTCCCTGCCCACGGCAGAGGGCTGGAACCAGGTGATCTTTCAGGTCCCTTCCAACCCACGCCATTCCATGATCCTATCATTCTACAATAATAAATAATAACATCACAAGATTGGAATAAATAAAAACATCACAAGAATGCTTGCGCTGCAGCCTTGAAAAATCATGCGTCTACTCGTCAGCAGGAGGAGGAGCGGGTAGGTTCAGGAGCTGGAGCCCTTCCCGGCGACCAGCGCGTCCCGGCGATGCCCCAGAGCCGGGCGGATCCCGGGGCGGACCCCGGGGCGGGGCGGGCGCAGTCCCGGCAGCCGCCGGCAGGGGGCGGGAGCAAAGCGCCGCATCCCGCGGGAGCGGCGGCAGCGCCGGTGGCGGCCCGAGGCGCGGCGGCTCCCGCGGGATCCCGGCCACAAAAGCAGCCCCGAACCAGGCGTCGGGGACGATGCAGCACTGCAGAGCAGCCTGACTGAGCACCAGGAGGTGTGATTGCTAAAAGGTGTCCCTGTTTTTGCTAAACGGCCTCGTTTCTGTGACCTTCGGGAAAGCGTATTGTGAGAATAAAAACTAGAAAATGTCGGTTTTCCAATCTTCCTTGCAGAAACTGGCGTCTCCTTTTCAATCCCCACCTTCATCTTCTGCTTGTCAACCCCTTTGTGCAAAGATTTATCGTGATGGCATGATGTGATGCAAAACGGGGAGTAAGTGGAATCTCCCAAATGAGGTTTGGCTCTTTATTTTCTCAGTGTGTCATCATGTGCCCACTTCCTAAAAAGCAGCCCACAGCAGTGATGTGGATTGCTGTCACTGTGATGAGTAAGACCAGGAGAGAAAGCCAGGGCTGAAAATAATTTGCAGAACTGTAAAAATCCAGGCTTACAGTACTAACTGAGCCAAAATCATGCAGAGTAATAAAAAAACATACCAGATGCTGTAAACAGCCTCCTTTTAACATTTGCAACGAATAATATTTTAAAAAAACCCAACTGATACTCATCAAATGCTACTAAGCTTTTGCAAAGGCTGTGGAGCAGAAAGCTCGCTCCGAGTGACCTTTTGCACTTCGCATTTTGGGGGTTTGCCTTGTGCCAACACTCAGAGCAGCCAGCATCAACTATCTGTAGGGCATGGTGCCAGGCTCCCAAAGATGTCCCCGAGGGTACAGGCAGACTGCCCACTTGTGTGTGGCGCTGCCAGCAGTCCCTCCAGGGTCAGCCAGGACAGTCTCCGGGCAGCTTGGCACCCGAGCAGAGCTGTTCCAGCGGAGAATCAGCTTCACTGGCTCTGGATGTACATGGCCTGGGTGACCTCCTAAACCCACAGTGTCCAGGGGGTTGAAGGGCTGGGGGTTGCTGCAATGTCATGTTTACAGTATTGTGGTAGCCCCCAAGATTTACCCAGTCAGGCAATAATTGTGGCAGAAACACTCAGGGCAGGTCATTACTTTGCAAGGCCCTCAATTCAGCTTTTTTTGGGGAAAATAAAAATAGAGAGCTGCTGCCTTGAGTACTACTGAGCAAGACAAAAACCAGTGTCTGGCTAGAGATTGCCCATGAGCTTTATTTTTAAGAGGGTTAGCAACACTGTGATGTTGTTCCCATGCTGTGCTGATATTTAGTCCTGTCTGATACAAGAAGGGACAGTTTCAGCAGCTCGGGGTGGTGTAGCCTGACCCTCTCTGTTTATGCAACCCCACTTTCCTTGTGGAGGACTTTGCCTGTGCTTTGCTACTCTGGAATGCTTCCTCTCAACTGGTCATTGGGATTGGAAATGCCTTATTGCTTTATGTACTGAAATATAGCCTCTTATTCTCTGTCTTTTCCTCATATTCTCTTCACCGAATGGAGGTGAGAGCTACCGATCTGTTTATAGCCACTCACTTCTCAGATTCCCATATTTCCTATTTATTTACTTTAAGAAAGTCTGTGTACAGAAAATGCTGAGAAAGTGCATGGCAAGTGACAAGAGCCATAACTTGGAGTGGCATTGCCTGGGTCTGCACCAGTTTATTGGCAGGCCCCTGGCAGGTGAGATTTGAGAACACCCTTAACTTGGAGCCTGCCAGGTGGTCTCTGGGATCTCTGCATTGCCATCCGGTTGCTCCAGAGGAAATAAAGTCACAGGTCAGATCCTACCCACCTGCTGTCTACTGGAGTATGCGTTGTCCACTCGCAAAAATTCTGAGAGAAAGAAAGTCAGAGGAGCCAGGACTGAAGATTTTGCTGCTGCTGGTACGCAGAGGCATAGCGAAAAGTTTGGCTGCAGCTTTTGCAGCAGAGAGCTGAGTGGAGGAGCCTTCTGAAATGGAAACTGTCTGGTAGCCTGGGAATTGTCTTTGGCGCACCTCTCCGTAAACTACACCCAGGCGTTCCGGTGTCGCTGGGAGGAAACTGGAGATGGGTCCGTGCTCTCCGTGGCTGAGAGCAGCTGGGAAGCACGGCGGGAGGAAGCGGCCTGGGGCTGGTGCCTGCTGGCTGCTGGAGCGTGTTTGTGCTGGGGCCGGGGGTGCTGCATGGGCGGCTCTGCTCGCAAGCTGCAAAAACAACCAGCCGGCCCATCATCGTGGCTGTTGTTATTGGAGAGGTTGGGAAAATGGGATGCGGACGTTTCGGCACTTAAAAGCATCAGCAATCTCCATAATTCATCTCACTGTTCTTGCTGATATGGTTAATTTTCAAAGGTTTGGGCATGATTGTATTAGATTCTGTAAATATCGGAAATAATTTCCCAGAAATATTTTTTTTCAAGCTTGTTGGTTAAAGGTGGCATAAATTACACTTTTATTGCTTTAATGAACAGGCTATTAACAGACACTGTGATAGAAGAGCAACACTTTACACAGACATTCAACTTATGATTATGCCATACTGTTTTATAATGACCTGAAATTCTATATTGGAGAAGAACACACATTGTTTTAATTATCTTGATGATACAACAGCTTTATAGAACTTGCTACAGTTCAGATGCAGGTATGATTCATACGAGGCATAAGAAAATTACTCAGGAATATAATGTCACTGGTGATAATAATCATTGTTCATATGCTCTTTAAACAGAGTAAAAAGAGCATGTATTGTTTAAGGTTGCCAACACCAGGGGATTTCCACTTTTCCCAAGTGGATAGAACAGTTTTTTACAGTTTCCCCACGCTTGGCTCAACACCAGCAAGCCTACCTCTGCAGGTGACAGCTCAGCTGCCCAACCTGTCGGGTGTCATTGCACAACCTTCCTTGTTCGCCTGTACAGAGTTGTGGTATATGGCTAAGTCCTGGCACAGTGCAGCTAGGTTAGCTCACAGCCAAGAAAGGAAAGACTGCTGACCCTCCGTCTCTGGAAGCTCCATGAACAACTGGCACCTCAGGAGTGGTGCCGGTTGATCTCTGGATAAAAGTGATTTTTTGCAGTCCTTCCCTTCTTTATGTTCCATGATATTATAATAGTTTTGATTGTACTTGAACACCTGCTTGATCAGTAGACATGGCCTGTCATGATTCTTATTGTAGAATATGGCTTTTTTTCTGTATTATGATCTTGGTTTAATTAGAAACTGACTGTAATATTCTCTTAATTTTCACCCCTGGTTTCTCTCATCTGAAGCTGTGTCTGTAGAGTGCTTTCCAAGACCACATCTTCAGACCCTGATTTTTGCAGTCATCCTCTTACTCTGTTGTAGAATCTTTACATGCAGAGGCTGTATGCAAACACAGAGTACTGGCTGTAATGTAGTTGCAGTATTGGATACAAATAAATCAGTTCCAGCTGCCCTGCACTGTAGCCAAGAGTTTCCAAAGCATATCTGGAACACAATAATAATATAATTTCGGTAGAATTTAATGAGGCTGTAACTCCAGAGACAGGTAGTGGGCATAACTGTAATTCAAGAGTTTAGTTTCCTGAATCCTAAAACAGATTCATGGCTTCAGTGGATGTTCTCCTGAATGTATCTCAAATAAAAGACATGCTTGTTTTTACATTGTTTTCTCTGCTGCACTCATCATATCGCTTTCTCATCCTCATCTGTTCTTTGGCTTTTGCCCTGCTTTTATGAGTTCCTCTCATGCTCCCATATTATACTGGTTCACAAAAGTTCACTCATAAAAATTTCAGTATTTATTTACCTTGTGCTACTTTCTTATTATAGCATCTCTGAATGTACTGTACATTCCTGATTCCAGAGTAGTACATGGTGCTGGGAACGCCTGGGTGACAAACTCCATGCATGTATCTGGGATTACATCCACACACACACACCATTTTACATTATTCTTTTCACTTGTACATCAACTACCAAAGTGTTTTAGCTTTTTCTTCTCTTTGTCATAATTCTTTTAAAACTAAATGAATATGATTGCAAATAATGACAGATTATTTCTTGTGTTCATTAGAATAAAAATTCCTTGTGAAATCCTACTTCACATTATTACAATTGCTCAATTAAAGGATCACCTGGAGTTTTACTTCATATTTCTCACCCTGATCTAAAACTTAAGGTGCATCACCCTGTGGTTGGTACTGCAGGAGGACTTGAACTTTAAATGATATTTGACTTTTACTTTACATTATACCTTTTATGACTTTTACCTTTTACTGCTTTCTGTAGGAAGAGGTCTGTGTCAAAATGGGCATAGCATATCATTCTTTTTTTTAGTGTTAGATTCTTCACTTTTAATTTTTCATCCATTATTAATTTTTTGCCTTCAGTTAGATCCACTCTTTCTTGCCCCCTTAAAATTCAAGTGGTTTGAAAAGGTCTCTGATTCACCACTGGCACCACTTCAGCATAATGCCAGAGTCATTTGACTTGTATATGAATAGTCACAGCTTTCATTGGAAAAAGGAGTGCAAGAGCCAGGAAAGAAATGTACTATCACCTCTCCCAGGCCACCTGCCTGCACTGGAGGAGGTAAGGAATTCCAGGACAAGCTGATTTTTAAACCTAGCACAGCAAATACATTCAGAAGACATTACTTTATAAGTCATTCCAAATGTTGGATCAGTTCGTCCTCTGAAGTCATAATATGATGCAGCTACTTTCAAAATCCATCTGCCAGCCAGACTGAGTAATTAAACTCCTCTCTCCTGCTCCCTCATATAGCCTCCCTGAAATGCTCCAAGGTCTGTCCCTCCTTCCCTTCTGCTGCAAGGTCTGAGAGGTCACCTGGCCCTGGGGCAGGTGGCTGCAGGTGTCCCTGCAGTTGGAGACCAAAGGGTCTGAGCTGGCCAGGCTGCTGGCCTGAAATAAACCCACGGGATCCAGAAGCTGCCTCTTCAGATAGGTGCATTCATCCACGTGCATCAGCACTGGTGCTGTGGTAGCCAGCAGTTATTTTGCAGTTAATGCAGTTAATTCCCTGCCAGCCTCCTGAATCCTGTCTCTTCCATATATCTTGGTGAGTCGATGGGGATTTAAACAATATTTGATTTGGAGGTACTACAAGGCAAACGCGCAAGCCATCAAAGGCATGTTTTATAATCGTGGCTTAACATGATTCTTTTCTTTGGCATTTGACTGAAAGAAAAAAGATAAAAAAGTGATTTTAAAAGCCTTATGATTTCAAGCATTCAGAATGTCCCAGCCTTCTATCACTGTGAATCCATTTTCCCATGTTGAAGGGGGAAAGTTTACTCGGGAGTAATAAACAGGTCCCGTGGGGCCGCAGCGTGCTACTGCAGTCATGCACAGAGTCGGCCAGGAAAGGGATGTCAGCCAAAAAGCTTCAGTCCCACACTTCAAAGGACAACACTCATGGGCAACAACTTTATTTTCCTTTTCAAAATGCTCTGATGAGCACTTTGCTGCATTGCTAGTGATACTGTTGAGAGACAATGTCCTGTGCACATGGAAATATAAAAGGATGATTTTTGACATCTGCTGTGGTATCCCAGAAAGGTGGACTGCATCATGGAACAAATTTAGAATAACCATACACCCAACTTCATTACCAGGCCTAATAGGCAGTGGATGAGAATCAAGTTAGTGGGATACTATTTCCTGAAAAGAGGTCATTGCTTCTCCGTGTCTCATTGTTTTGACCTATTTATAGGTTTTTTAAACACTCAAGCACTTAAGGAAAAGCCTTCCTGGAGAAATCTATTGGGAGTGGTTTACCTCCAGATGAGGTAGGTCTTATTTAGCTGGGCAAACATCAAGAGCAGCCCTGGAGATTAATAGTGGGTGGGAGACATGACAAATATGGCCAGCCCTGTTGCCACCCCCAAACCAAGGTAGCAGTGCACTTTCTGATCTGTTTCAGGGCATTGTCTCTGCCTGGATAACCCCTCTGAAATGCTGCTCTGCCTCTTGAGGCTTTTGCTACCATCCCAGGACAACATGTGAAAGAGTATTTTCCCACTGCGTGTGTAGCAATATGCAAGTAGATTCGAGAGCCTGAGAGACAAAGTCAGCCCTCCCCTAGCGTGGTGCTCAAACTGGGGTGAATTTACTGAGGCTGGGAAGTAGAGTAGGATTCTAACACAAAGCCTACATTTCCTAGTGCAAAGCATTTGGTAAAGTCCTCCTGCAGTGGACAGGGCTGGAATGGATTGGATCTTCATTTATAAAGTGTCAGCCTCATGGGTGACAGAACCTGGAATTAGCACTCACTGGGTTGTGCAGCCTCATGGATAATCTCAGTATATGTTGTTGTAGGTGCCTACTGAAAAAACTTGAGTCCTGGAAAATTCTTCATCAAACAGAGTAAATGGAAAGGTTTTGTTCTGTAAAGTCAGTGGCCTTTGCAAATGTGAATTTTAGCAGGAAAGTTCACAGAGAGTGATCTAAAGTTTTACAAATCCAATTGAAGGAGGCTAACAAAAAGCTTGGGCTAAACTATTATTCTGGAGGGTTGTTCCTCTGAGACTTCCTAGAGGTCATTACTAATGCTGTGTGTCACAAACACTTTGATCTGGCAGCAGAAGTCCTTGGAGATGGCAACAACTGCCTCTCATCTTGCCCCAACACTTCTCCTGACTTTGGCCATGGAGAGCTTCCTTCTCAGAATCCAGAAAGGAAATAAAATCAACAGGGCAGCATAGTTAAGCAGCTAATTTAAACCCATCTCCAAACTGTTGCTATGTCCTCACTGTTTAATACCAAGGAAACCTTCCTAGGAACAAATACACACTGATGTCTCACCTTTTCAGCTGGTCTCTTTGTATCATCCAGGAAGGTTGCTGTATTCCCTGGGAGAAGACTGGCTCTTCCTGGCAAGAGGACAAGTGACTCAGGAATGACTCACTGGTGCAGGAGAACCTGCTGGCAGGAAGACTGTGTCCTCAGTAGAGGCAAAAGTCCTCTGTGCAGCTCAGTCATGGGGAAGTGCAGGAAGGCAGCCTGTACCCAGGTGCTGCAGTGTGACAGTCTGATGGCACAGACCTGCTGAAGGGAAGGAAGCCTCAGGGACGTGCAGCATGGCAACAAATCCTCTCAGAGCTGGCCAGACCGGGTGCCCCCCCTGTTCTTGTTCCAGCTCAGAGGGGCCAACACCTCTGCAAATCTACTGGCTTTATCCTTTAGGTAGTTTTTCTAATTCTGCTTTGTTTGCCACAGCATACAGTGCCACAGCCCTCACATCCATCACAACCAGTGGGAGACAGCTCCTGCCCGGCTTCCCTGTGCAGCCCCAGGGTTGGACCATGGAGATGAGGAATGCTGTTCCCTGCCACAGCAGTCAGGGTGCCAATTCACCACCCTTGCCTCTGCCACAAGAGGTACCCAGCAGAGTCCCTTCATGAAATGGATCAAGTGGTCCTGGGCTCGTTATCTTATGACCCAACCAAATATGCTTACAATGGCTGGTATTTATTTCAACAAGTAACCCAGGGAGCGACTGTGTACAGTTTAAAGAGTGAAACATTATTCCTCAAAAGACTTTCAGACTTTGGTTGCTCCTAACATGGACTGTTCTGGGCAGGTCCTTTTCCTTCGAGGTCAAAGTCTTCCATCTTAGCATTCTTCATGGATTTGATACTCCTCTGCTCTCTTTTTTGCCATGTGTAAAATATTCAGTGACAATGATTAGATTAGAAACTGACAATAATTTGAGGAGAGCTGAAGCTAAATTCTGCACAAGAATGTAAGATGAGGAGTGATGAATATTCTCACTGCAGATGGGATAACTAGCAATGTTATTTTCCAATTAAAATTATTTTCCAATGTCATGTGAGGAAAGGAATATCTGAGAAACTGCTGGAAAAATAAGTAGTTAGGCAAGTGACAACTGCAGACGTGCTTTTCTGCTTGGGATGCTGAGGATCACACTCACATGGCTAATATATGATCCTAAAGGAGGAAAGATCAAAGATAGCTGCTCTGTTGATCAGAGATGCCATCAGCTGATCTGAGGCCACAGTAGTCCATGTGAGACCCTGTGTTCTGGCTTTGTGATTCCAGCACATCCCTCTGTGCGCTGCGAGTTGTCCCTTTGTCGTGTCATGTGTCTCTGTGTTGACTGCTCCCCAGGGCTGGTGTGACACATGGGCCGTGCTGTAGCACTGCCTGGGGCAGCCAGGGAGACATCTCTGCTGCTGCTGTGGAGTGGCAGAGTGACTCTTTACAGAACCTCTTTGTTTTGCCTCTTAGCACTCTAAGTACTCTGCTTTCTGTCTAGGTTGGGTGTGGGGGAAAAAAAATGTTCTCTCCTGGCAGAGAAAATTCTAATTGCAGGTGTGAAAAAGTAAAATTATTGTGAAAAATTCCTCCTCAGAGGGATGTCACCAGCCTCGGTGGTATTTCATAAGATATGGCCAGCTCACCTTAGAGATCAAGGGGCGTGGATCCTGGATTTGAGTCTCTGCCAAACAAGTTTAATGTCTTTTTCAGTGAAAGATGTGGAGGACTTGGGAAATCCAGCATACACAATTTATCTTTATTTGAGGTTAAATGGATGATGGACATAGAAGGACAGCCAGATGCTGAAAAAACACTGTTTGTCAATAGTGTCAAAAAGTGGATGACAAAACTGGCTGATGAGAGTGATACAGCAGGCAGTCAGCAGTGGTGCTAAATCAGAATAGAACTTGCACCAAGCATGGTTACCTTGGGATTAACACATGCTGCAATGACCAAGATCATTCTGCCTGGTTATTAGCAAGCTGGGAAAATAATATCATAGAGTCATAGAATCATTTAGGTTGGAAAAGACCTTCAAAATCATTGAGTCCTATCAAACTTAACACTACCAAGTGCACCAAATTGGAGCTGGGTACAAGACACATCAGGTGCAGAAGCATACAAATAAGTTATTACTGGATCACAGTTTTAAAGTAAGAACAAATATGAAATTATATGTTTAGGTCAGAAGTGGACAAGAAATCTAAATAGCTGCACTAGAGTCTTCCACCTCTGATACGGCTCAGGCAGTAATCTGTGAAAAGCTTCAGGTTAGACCTGCAAGAAAACTTAGACAAAAGACAGGCACTGCTGACTGTTAAATCTGAAATAACCTGCAGAATCTGTCTGTTGGCTGCTCCTAGTCTTGGAAATAAAGGCATGAAGGCCTTAAACATTTACACTTCTATCACTAATACCACCTGTGTCTCCATGCATACTCTACATGCAACACAGTGGTGGGTTAAAAGGTCTCCAACCTGCCTTCAGATGGGTTTGCACCTGTAGCTGCCACACCACAGTGCTGTGCAGAAATACCAGCCCAGAAACCTGAAGCTGTGAGTGCTTGCTGGGCTGATGCTGCCAGCAGGCAGAGTAGTCAGGGCAAATGTCTGCACCGCGATGGCTCTCAGGCTCGCTTAGCTGCAGTGTGCTCTGAGAACAGCCACAGGCTGCTCTGAGTGTCTGCTGGGGGGCTGGAAAGAGCTGATGAAGGGCTGGTTTCTGCAGGGCTGTGCAGCTGGGTGCCCGTCTCAGGCCATGCTGAAGGGCTGTCACAAGCAGGATAAATCTTTCTTGCCCCTTCTTGCCTATGAGATCTGAGCTGATAAGAATTCTCTGGAAATGACTGTCAGATTAGGCTGAAAGCTAAACAGGGAAGATGGTGACTAATTCCACCTGTTGATAAATTGCTTAATGCTGAAAGCATTCACTTATTAGGATGAGCAATATTTGAGTCCTGGCTTGGTGAAAAGGATCCTTGACCTTATCCAGCCTCCCAACAATTTCTTCAAGCAGAGACTGACCAAATGTTCTGTGGCGAGGCTCACTGGGTCTCTTGTGCAAAGCACCTCAGCCTCCCTGTTATAATTAAACACGTATTGGTCCTGAGAGAGAACTAAAAAATTAATGTTTGTAATATAAAGAGAATCCAAAGAAGTTCTGGGTCTGCTCCAGTACCTCTTACAAAATCTTCATACTGCATGTGCTTATAAAAACTATCCAATTCAATGCTTAAGTCTACCAGCTGATGTAGGCACTCTTGCCCTACATGGAAAGCAGAGAAAACTTCCTTTATCAGACTTCTGTTCCCATGTAGCTCTGAATACTCTGGGCTGGGAGATGGCATGAAGGTTATTTTCAAACCCTTAATTATGGATTTGCCTAACTTAATTCTTTTGCAATTTATCAAATGAAGGGAAGGAAAAATGATCTTGTGACCGAGGCAGAGGGCTGGCATTCCTGAGCTTGGGATTTTATTCATCTGTTCCCTGGGTTTCCTGCTTGGCCCTGGGCAAACTGCAATCTGCCCATGCCAACATTTCCTCCTCTGTAATGTACCGATAAGGGTGCCTACTTCACAGGGTTTGTTTTAAGCTAAATTCATTATAATACTCTCTCATGTTTTCAGGATTTTTTCCCTGAGATTTGCACTTGTATTGGAAGTACAAAGAATTATTGTAATCACTATTGCTAACAATAATGATGAATGCACTTCAGTTTGGAATGTATGCCTCTCACATGTTTGTTTATAGCTTCATAGCATAATAAATAATTCTGTAGATACAATCTCTTAATCTTGTTCCCCAGCCCTCTGCTCACCCTGCATGAACCTGCAGTTACACTGACAGTCCTAGACCAGAGCTTCAGGGTTTGCTTGGCCTACCACATTCCCTCATGGAGTTTACAATCAGTAGGATCATCCCTAAGTGTAGCCTCCCCCATCACATTATTACCCTGCTATGGTTCCCCAGGCAACAGGATTTGAGGGGAAAGACAGGATCCTATCTCTCCTACAGGTCAGCAGTGGTCTGCATAGTTCCACAGGCAATGTCTTTGCTCCAGGGCTCATGAAGGTCCTACATGAATTGTGGCAATTACAATTTCATGCTCCTGTGAGTGTGAATAGTATTGGCCTTACCATGTCCTTGTGTCTGCATGTACTGATGGTCCCTTCTTCTCCCATTATATCTCTTCCATAATTTTAGGCTTCTCAGCTGTTACTCTGGGATCCTTTTTAAACAGTGATGACACTCACACTGGTTCATGCCCTCAGTGATATGATGGTGGATCTGACGATACTTGTTGAAAGCTTAGCACTGAGACCACAAGTGTGTCTTGATGTCATCCCAGAGATGACATCCATGAATCAGATCAGCATGTTCTGGCCAGCTCAACACACCAGCTCACCTTTCAAGTTGCCTTATAGAGGGATTAGATTTTCTTCTTCTCTTATGTAGTAATAAGAGAGCAAAGAAGACTCCCTTTCAATAGCTAGTTTCAGAAGATCTGTCCTGCATCAAAGCAGCTGAGTTATCTTGACTGAGTTACCTTGGCCCAGAGCAATGATTTGAGGTGACAGTTTCTTGGAGGAGCTGTACCATACTTTTCTGTCCCTTAGTTCCGTGTATGCAAAATTTTCTGCTAAGAACAAACACCTTCCCATCTGGGATTCGTGGGGCTCCTTTAGACTCCTGTGAATATTTAGCAGTTCTTTTCTGCTTTTCTCTTAATGGTTGTCTGCCTGAGGACACTTAGAGGTGGAATTTTCTAAATAACTGCAAATTCAAGGAAACAATCCCCTTCTCAAAAAATCTCTCAGGGGTAAAAATAATTACAGAAGTAAAAATGTGGGGGGAAATGAAATATCTAGTCAAAGAAATGAAACTTTATTTGTTTATTTAACATCAAGAAATATCTTGCCTGTTAGCAAGTGGAAATGTCATACTGCCTATGCCATAGGTTATACCTATACCTAGGTGTGTTTAATTATTTTTTCTCTGCATGAGGACAAATATAGGCATTAGTAGATGTATAGTGCAATGTAAGCAACTTACAGGTAAATTTGCTTGCTGGCATATCTCTGAAAAAAATTCAACTGTTGCAAATAGAAGGAAGGCATCAATGCCATTTATTTTTAACTTTAAAAGAAAGACCACAGAATCACTAGGGTTGGAAAGGATCTCTGGAGACCATCTAGTCCTATTCCTGTCAAGGCAGAATCACCTAGAACAGGTGACACAGGAATGTGTCCAGGTGGGTTCTGAGTGTCTCCAGAGAGGGAGACTCCATGACCTGCCTGGGCAGCCTGTTCTGCTGCTCTGCCACCCCCAGTGTAAAGAAGTTCTTCTCATGTTGAGATGAAACTTCTTGTGTTTTAGTTTATGGCCATTGCACCTTGTCCTGTTGCTGGGCACCACTGAAAAGAGTCTGGCACCATTCCCTAGGCACAGGGCTTTGAGATGTTGTATGTATTGATATCTCCTCTCAGTCATCTCTTCTCCAGACTAAACAGGGCCAGTTCCAGCAGTGTTTCCTCATAAGAGGAATTCCTCCACATTCCTCATAATCTTCCTGGCTCCCCACTGGACCTTCTCCAGTCACATCTTTTCTTTCTTGTACTGAAGAGCCTAGAATTGGACAGAGCTTTCCAGAAGTGCCCTCACTAGGGCTGAGTAGAGGGGCACCTCTATTCAGGCAGATTTTCACCTCCCTCAAGCTGCTGATCGCACTCTTCTTGAGTCACCCCAGGATAACACTGGCCTTCCTGGCCACAAAGCACTGCTGGCTCATGGTCAACTGGCTATCCACCAAGACTGCCAGGTCCTTCTCCATAGAGCTGCTCTCTTGGAGGTCAGCTCCCAACCTCTGTAGGTACTTGGCGTTATTCTCTCCAAGGTGCAGGATCCTACACTTGCCCTTGTTGAACCTCATTAACTTTCTCTCCACCCAGTTTTCCAGCCTGTCAAGGTCCAGCTGAATGGCAGCACAGTCCTCAGGTGTATTGGCCACTGCCCCAATATCATCACCAAACTTGCTGAGGGTAAATTCCATCCCTTTGTCCAGGTCATTGTTGAATAGGACAGGTTGAACAGGACAAGTTGAATAAGACTGGACCTGCTGTTGGTCCCTGGGGAGCGCTACAGACTACAGGCCTCCATCTGGATTCTGCTGCACTGATCACAGCCTTTGAGCTGTGCCATTCAGCCAGTGCTTGTTATAGCCTTAGTGTTCATAAACAGACAATGCTATAATGAACACAAATATGAAATACATGTCTAGAAAATTGTCTGGAAAAGGATATCTCTGTATATGCACTGCAGTGAGGTTAGCTCAGTCTTAAGGTTTGAGAGTAATACTGGTATGATACCAGATTTTCTAGTAGTCTTATGTACCTACTCAGTACTTTATCATGATAGGCAAAATGCTGTAGCTGGAGGCAAAATTAGGCATTGAATATACAAACAAAATAAAATTAAACATTTTATGCAAGAAGATAATCTTTGTGATGCCTTCATAATAAAAGGTTTTCCTTGGAACATCTCTGAACAAAACAGGATCTGAAAACTCTCATCTTGATTTTTGCTCTGATCTTTTATGTATTTCATCTGCAGTAGTGAAGACTTGAAACATGTTTCCCAATCTTTCTACTCTCCCATTCAGAGGGAAAAACAATATCACATCAACATTTTATTCTACTTTTTCTCCAGATTTCTCTTTTTGTATCAGATCTTCAGAAGAAAAATACCTCAAAACAACAAGTTGTCTACTGTGTTTCACATCTTAGCTGCTATTACTGTATAAATGATTTTGTTTAGAGACAGCTTGGCAGCATGTGACACTGCATCATCAAAACCCAGCAAGCCTCAGTGATATGTTTAGTGCCATCTCGGCATCTTTGTCTATGGCAATTTGTCACGTCCTTCAAAAAAGCAGAACTCAGATTTTATGAACTTGCACCTATTAAATGCAGAGCTCTGCAGAGGGGATGAGATTTTATCTTTTTGACCAAAAAAAACACTGTAGAAGAAGATTTTGCGAATGAGAAATGCAAGGAAAGCTGGACAAAATAGCAAAGTTCCAAATTTGGTAAGAGGCGCAATAACAATACAACGAACTTCTATTTGCATTTGCATAAATTAATTTCTTAATTTAATTATGCTATTATGCCCACAAATTTATATCAAATCCAACAACATAAACCCAGACTCAGCTTAATGAAGACACAATAACACAGCAAGATCTCACTGTGTAATTGCACTAAGGCCTTGATGGGTAGCCAAATGAACTTGCTGTCCTTTCCCTTGTCCTTGGTTGACTGTTTGTTGTTCTGCTCGAACTGAAGCAATTTTTTTTCCGCACTGTGAATGCTTACATTAATATTTCTTGGTGTCTCCCCTGTAGTGTGGGTAGTTTTTACCTAAAACAGGTCATAGTGTATGACCTAAGCACTAGGGAAGTCAGGCCTGAACTCTGCAGGAACTTAATGTACATTGCCAGGAGACAGTTTCCTCTGCTGCTGTCATGGAAAGTTTATGGACACTCAGGGTCTAAGGTGGCACTTTGATGTGCTGTTTTTGCAACATATGTTCAACCACCAGCTGATTTTAAAAAATATATAAAGTTCAAGTGGGCTTTGAGCTCATAGTAAGCAAAGGTCATTGACCTGTGCTTTGATGGATATGGTTACTCTCTGGTTTGTTGTGGTATCAGGCCCCTCTGGCAGTCACATGGTTGTTCAGACCTCTTTTCATCATTTGAGATTCAGGATACACATGGGCTAAGCTGCATTGGTAACCCTACTACTTTTTTTTCTGATGGCAGCCCTGATAAAAAATGTTGAAGTTGTGTGTTGCTTGCATGTTTAACACATTGGACTTTTCAGAGGACAATATTGTCCTAAAGAAGAGCTGCAGAGATAATGCAATCTGTGGTGTGGTGCTGTACATCAGGAGCAGAGCTCTCTGCAGCTTTACATTTAGCTGTGGGACCATGGGAGGAAGGCCAACACTCAACAATGCTTCCTCACTCAGGTCTGCAATCCCTGAGACTGAAATAAAACTGTAGGCTCAGGCTTTCATTGGGTTTTCATAGGATATAGGATAGTCGATAGGATATAGGATAGTTTGGGTTGGAAGGGACCTTTAGAGATCATCTAGAACAACCCCCCTTTTGTGTGTAACCTCCCGCTTCTGTTTGTTTCTCTTGCCTCATCAGGCTGTTAGCTCTTGCAGGTGGAGGGTGCCTGTGCTCAGTGTTTGTACAGCTCATCAGGATCCCAGTCCCACTGATCCCTTCAGGTGCTGCTAAAACAGTAATGAATAGATCCGCTGCACGTGCTTTGCATGTGAGCTGTGTTCTTTAGTCCTGCTTAGCTAGGTAAGACATGGTGCTTTTCCTGCTCCCTAAGTGGATAAACACTCTCAGGTAGCCAGAGTAAATTAATTTCAGATGCAAGTAATATTCAAGGGTCTCCGTTGGCCTGTATGTGCTTTTTGTTTTATTCATCTCTGTCCTCTTCAGTTTGGTTAAATAGAGATCACGAAGCAAGATGTGAGAAAAGGTGTAGCTGAGCTGGTAAAACAGGCTTTCCTATGGCAAGCAGGCTCTTCTTATCTCGTAAGCAGGACTTAAGGACTTGATTCTCTGATATCTTGTGACACTGGTAACACTAAAGCAAATACCTTCCTATAAGCTGGCAATTTTTTATATCCACTTTGCATTCAGGCAAATACTGATTCAAAGAGCCAAGCCAAAATCATCATAAATGAATATTCATAAGAGAAAATCATTAGTGAAATGACAAGATAAAGGGGAAAAATATATTCACCTACATGGCTCTTTCCTATCCCAGCTGAAAGAGTAGCTTTTGTAATAATGTTATTTAATGATTCCAGACAATGTTTAGCATTTCTAGCCCATGTTTAAGTAGCTGGTCTCCACATATTTTTAACCATGATGCAAAAGCCCTGCATAAAGTCAGCACTGTGTGTAGCATAAGTACACTCTTCTATTGAAATCATGTCATCAAAAGTGTTGTTTTCATAGAAGGAAAGAATCATTTATGTTGGAAAGATCTTTAAGATCATCAAGTCCAACTGTAATTTTGCTGGTAACTGATAAAAGGTTTTTTACCTTCTTCAAGACTGTGGATGGACACCTTCAAAAAGCCTGAAAATTAGTTATATAAAAAGGTTATGGTAGAAAGGCAGCCAACAATTTCATGGTTTGCCTTGTTTTTCTTTTCTGGCAAGAAAAAAGAG